ACCCACTATTCTCGTGGCAGCTGGGAGACCAGTTTGTCCTGTCTACCACACAGGTGCCAGTGCAGACACTGCTCCAGCCACTCTGCTTAGAGGTATTATAGGCACGTGGTACCACTGGAAACAGCAATGCCAATTTGAAAGACTGTACCTTATGCTAGGCCCAGCCTCCTGTGGCCTCACCATCCAAGGTTCTCCAAGGGCTTTCAGACAAGCCCCATTGGTGCACCCCTTACCTGAGAGGTGAAGCTGCCAGCCTCCATGGGAGGGTCGTTCTTGCTGTCTCCAGCCACATTCCCACGGCGGATGTCTTTCACCGACACGTTCTTCACGTTGAAACCAATGTTGTCACCCGGCAGTGCCTCTGCCAGAGCCTCGTGGTGCATTTCCACTGACTTCACCTCTGTGGTGATGTTACTGGGGGCAAAGGTCACGACCATGCCAGCCTTCATGAAGCCAGTCTCCACACGGCCCACGGGGACCGTGCCAATACCTGGCATGAGACAGTGACATCAGTCAGGAGCCTAGAGAAGGTGCTACCACACCCAATGAGCTTCCCTTCCCCCTCACCCCAACTCACCACCAATCTTGTAGACATCCTGCAGAGGCAGGCGGAGTGGCTTGTTAACAGGGCGGGAAGGGGGGATAATGGAATCTAGAGCTTCCATGAGGGTAGTGCCAGCAGCATTCCCATCCTTCCTAGTGATCTTCCAGCCTTTGAACCAAGGCATCTGCAATAGATAGGAGGCAAGACTGAAGCCAGGCATCTCCCGGGAGTGCCGGGCATCTTCTGGGAAAGGTAAAGCAACAATGTTGAGTGAGAATCATTAAGGAAAGTGTCAGAATATAATATTGCTTCTACTTCAAGCCATAGAACATGCACATTGATGTGATTGCCCTAAAAAAAAATCTCTTGGCTTTGGAAAATGTTCAGAAGGTGGCAACAAGAGTGAGGGGAATGGGAGCCATGAGAAGAAAAAAGTTAAGACTGGGAATTTTCAGCTTCAAAATTGATGAGTAAGACTTCTATCAAACCCCTATCAGAGTCATGACGGG